ACAACGCCCGGTGCAGCGACAACGGCCAGGCCAACACCAACGGCGCCGCACGCCGCCATCGTGCCAGGTCTGTCTCTGCAAAATTGATACGTCCGCGCAGAAGTTTCCAGAGTGAATTGTTGGGTTTCGCTGGCCAGAGCAATCAGCCCGTCAGGGACGTGGATCTCAGCGGCAGCCCTGCCACCTGCGGACAGGAGTGACGACTGCCACTGAGCTAGGGTCGACATAGGGCGTGATGTATTGCGCAGTGAGATCTGGATTTGCGTGTCTACCACGTACGAGGCCAGGCGTTTTGCCGAACGTCAAATATCACGGCGAAGTCACCATTTGTCTCAAGCTGATGATTCTGCCTTGATCCACCGCTCTCTGAAAATGACATGTGATACCGTTGAGGTCGGGATGCTCTCGGAACGGGCCAGGCCCAGCCGGTTGGAACATACCACAGTACGTGTTGCATTATGACAGGCCCAACGCCCTGTAAGTGCGCCAATGAGGGTACGCGAACCTACTTGATGAAAATCAACAGTTTCGAGGGTGTACAAATGCGCGCTATGGCACAGACACTCCGATAGCTTGCATGTGGCAGTGTGCCTTTTCGCAGCGCTCATTTCGGCACCTCACTAGATGCAAAGTGAGTGTGGTGACATTGGGAGGTGTAACTCTGATGGCTGGTGATCCGCCGCACCATCGCGATTCGACCCTGGCGATGCGCTCGTCCGACTGCTGTCCAGGCCACCAATGCCGGGGTCGCCCGGGACGTGTACCCGCTCTGTCATGTACTTGGCACACTACGTGACAGCGCACCACCGTCGCTGTTGGGCACTGGCGTCCACTATAGTTATTGGGGATACACGCCATAGCTATAGTACTTTTAGCGAGGACGCTTAGTAGAACTTTTAGCGCAGCCCGCTAAGTACATAAGAAGTGCTCGGCCTTTTCTACACTTTTACGGTATCAAACGATTGACCAAATACTTTTGAGCCACTTTGCGCCTTCGATGGGATAGGGATCTCTAACGACATGCACTCAGAGGAATCCGAATGAAGATCTCCTCAAGCACCGAAAGATGCTCCTTTAAGTGCCGGTCGATCTCCAGCCAACCAGAGCATGGGACTTAAGCCACTATACTTCAACGGCTGCTTTCGTCTGCCAAAATTTGGTGACGGGAAGTGTAAGTGGGGGGAGGGCGCCTGAAAGACAACGTCTCGGGGCCGAAGGCGATCCCACGCCCGCCCCCACCTAGGGAGATCAGACCCAAGCCGCTTTCACAACCTCGCTTCTTACCCGCATCTAGCTCCATGCTATACACCCCATCCTCAGGCTGCGGTCATGGTAGAATCAAGAGGCGGCCACGGCTGCATCGAATGGTGCAAGACCGGAGCGCCGATGCTTAGAGGGAAATTGCGTAGGCAAAGGTACTGTACATCTGAGCCAAAACAGGGTTGTGCCTGGCGGCAATTGGGCTGGGCCGCAGGGCGAGGAGTAAGCGGACCGACGCAGTCGCTTGAGAGAGCCTGCCACACAAACTGGCTGGTGTACTGCAGTACGTCACCGTCACATCGTGAAGCCCACGTTGGGGCACTCGACAGCCCCATGGCCTCAGGGGCAATTGTCGCCATCCGGCCTTAGTTGAGGCACGCCACTAGACTTCGCAGACACCCCCAAACAGCATTTGCATCCCTATCTAACCCCAGGATATCCCCTCAAATCGAGTGTTGTTCTCCTGGGCCCTGCGCTTCAAGCCTGAAGCTGTGGGACACCAATGCGGCAAAGAATGCGTCTGTAGACATGAGCGCTAACCTTCTACGGCGGTCCGCCACGTCTGGGGTGGGGGTTGATTATCTTGTAGGCGCTGAGCCGTTGTGCTCAGGTCAACTAGGCGCCCTTTCGCGAGGTGCAGTGGCCAAGGCCAGCGCCAATAGTGATCACGTCAGTAGATAACGGCATTGTGGCAAAACTTGGTTATGCAGGATTGCGAATGGCAGCATGTACTGAAGTGAACAGTACACTGAGAAGTGTGGCTACCACCCAAGAGTATAAGCTCCACCTTGTACTGTGTACATCGTAAGCGAGCCGGCGCACGCTCGCTTTCATCATCAGTTCAATAAGCTGCGACTCCGGACGATCGGTGGTGGGTGCTCGTTTCCTGGTAAAGTCGGCGTAATTGATAGTTGGTTTGCTTTTAAGCACCGACGGCAGGGAGCTAATGGCGCAAGGCGCACGGGCTGTCAAGTGCTTGCCGTCCCCTCGACTGAAGTGTGCAGTCCTTTGTCTACCCTGCGCCCAGGTAGCACAACGTGGGCGCCGTTTAGGGTGTGGCCGACCTGCAATGACCAAGCGCTCCAGGTAGTCCTGATGGCGCGTGTGCCCTACATGGCTACCGGACCCGTCCAAGCTTACGCCAGCCTAAGAAGGTGCTCTGGGGCATCGGCGCGAAGGGCTGGCTCACGGCAGGCCATTCGTGCCATGTGCAACGATGCAGCCGCCGTCCTTGCTTCGGGCGGGTCGAGATGGCCGTGTACCACGCGTTTACGACGCGTCCTAGACTGCGAACTGCCAGCCCACACGAACGTACTCCCCATGTTCAGTCAACAGTACGGCGGCACTCGAGAAGAAACACCGCCAGAGACACATACTTCGACTCCCCGACTGTGAGAGCCAGCAAGCGGCGGCAGAGATCAGACTAAGACTCACTTGCTTGTCTCAAATGCGCAATGCTCAGCTCACGGCGAGATGACGGCTGTCGCGTTGTTGCTATCCGCTACGACGGCGAACTGCAGAGGTCATCAGATGAACACACGGTTGATAGCACACATGACTGCAAGGGAGAGTCGCTAAAACGACAGCAGAAGATCATCTGCTGTATTGCCCATTTGAGAACATCATGTTGGTAAATTGCGTATGATGGCCGGGGACGTAGTCATCATCTTCCTCGGCACTCATCTGTTAACCGCGCCCAACGGCGTTCACCGGCTGTCGGTGCTTGGGTCGGATCCTTCTGCCACTCTCTGCAGGCGTATGTTACCTCCTGCGTGTCCGATAATCTTCCACCGCGATCCGTCATGCTCAAATACGAAATTTGATAAATTTGCAGGCAAGAAAAGCAGGTCTGATATAGACGCGCTCACTATCGTGGTCGGATCAACCTCGCGAACATCTGCAATCAAGATGAGTGAGTAATCGTAGGAAAGCTTCATCGAGGATGGGATAACGCGTTACTCGCCGTGTGTTACGAATCACGAGGCGCTGGATGAGAGGCAACTCGGCCTCGCGAGGGACTTTGTAAAGTCCCCTGAGGTCCAGCGGCACCCGGAGTGGTTTCTCAGGATGCAGTCGCCGTGGTGTAATCACTGGAGATGTGAAGAGTTATGGGAGGATATCAAGAAAGGGAGGAAGGTCGATCTAAACCAGGGCCGGAACCAAGCTTTCATGTCTCTTTTGGTATCTTGCAAGAGGGTGTACGTCACCATCCTTGCACCCCAGATCATCCCGAGTACTCCAGCTCACTGTCTACCACCAGATACGACGAAAGCATCCAATCCTTCCGCGACTCCCGCATCATAAACATCACAACCGGCCACACCCTCCAGCGTGTCCTGAAATTACCCGCGGCCGCGCTACGTCTCCGACGCGCGCACCATCAACATCTCGCTGCGCGAGAACAGCGGCAACTGGCTATACCTCAACGGCGGGAGCGTCTGGCATACGCTCGCGGCCAAGGACACGAACGCGAGCAGGGTGTACGTGTGGCTCGACGCCGAGTGCCCGCTGACGCGCCGGCTGCTGCCTAAATTCCGCGCGCTGTGGGAGGGCGCGCCCGCGGAGATCGCGCCGAAGCTGACGGTGGATTTCCCCTGCGACGCGGAGGACGGGTTCTGCGCGTGGGGCGAGGTGGATGTACGGGAGCAGAACGTGTGTGCGGGCGGACCGCGGGTGGGGGGCCGTGGAGAGGCAGGGGCCGATTGTGCCCCGGTTCGAGGTCGTTGCGAGGGGGAGGCAGAGGTTTAATGAGACGACTTGTGGGTATGTTAGTCGGTGTGATCAGGGGAGGCCGAGGGTAAGGGTGTTGAAGGCGGGGAATCCGTTTGAGGATATTTTGTTGTACGGGAGGGGGATTCATGATGATTCGTATTACTAAGGAAATGAAGATACCATACACCCTCGTTACTTTGAGACGTCATACTGTGAAAAGAATGATGTTGATAGGTAAGAAAGGAAACGGTGATATGTATAGGTGCTTCGGCAGACTTCCATCATATGCTCATGTTGCATTCTTCCAAGCAGAGAGATAATTGCTCCAACCTTACAAAAGGAATTGTCCCAGCTGTATCCTTCTTACCGCACATAGAGCAGCGAGAAGAGACCTTCAAGTCGACGTTCCACTCCACCAGTTGTAAGCCGCCTTCCAGGGATTCCAGGCAGGGGCAGACTTGGCACCTTTTCGATTGCTGGATTGATATCCTGTCCTGCGCGCTTCTGCGAAAAATTGGGCTGTCTCTGCGAGGACGGAATACCAGGCAGTAGCACCCTGCAACCATCTCTGAAACCAAGAAGTTTCCGGTTTGGCCTGCCTCTTGGTTTGTTTCTTAGGCTGTTCTTTCACCTCATCATCGGGCTGTTGTTCAGACTGCCCTTCGGTTTGTCCCTTGGTCTCCTCCTCTTGCTCCTTTCTTGCCGTGTTATTTCCACCGCCATTCAGCTCGCGGCGAGGGTTTCCACCTTTCGCCAATAAAGGCACTCCGCAGTCCTTGCTCGAACCCAGTCGTGGCACCAGGTTAGCTTTGTCATCGGACACCTCCACAATGGTCTGGTGCAGATTCGACTTGAGAACCTTAGCCGCCTCGGTGTCCCACAAGGCCCTTCCTTGGTTCAATTCTCGTAAAATCTGGAGCTCCTCGACGTCCGCATCTGCGTATTTGCGTCTGATGAGATCGCGAAGCTCGTCACCTCTCTCGTCGGCTTGTTCCTCGTTGCAAAGCACGCTGCTCCTTGAGTTTTCAGAGCCTACCCCCCCCTGGCAGTCCGTGATGGTAAATAGTCGCTCCGTGACGTCGACCAGTAGGATTCAACAGACAATGAACGACCTCGTAGTTCTCGAAGTCGGCGGTGATGGCCCACTTCTTCTTGAAAGCCTTTTCCGTGATCTCATCCCATTTTGTCGTGACAATCGTGATGTTCTGGAAGAATTGCGGACCACAAAAGCATTCGATCCACCGCAAAGTGCGCAGATCACTTTCGCTAAGACGCTGCATTTCGCCGTAGACGAACAGGACCCCAGCGACGGTGACGAATGGGCGAAGGGTCGAAAGACATGTCATGATGTCTTGGAAATTACCTTCATCGTCAAGATCGGCGGCGCCAAAGCCAGCGGTGTCTACGAAGAGATACTGCTGGTTGTCAATGACGGCCGGGCAGATATGATACTGCCGAGTTCCTGGGTGATGAGGTTAGTAATTTGTAGTGAATTTAGGGTGGGGTCGTAAAATTACTTACCAGACTTCAAAGATGTGCTGACATGAAGATCCATCCCGGTAAGCTCGTTGAGTAACGACGACTTCCCCGTACCCGACTTCCCCATAACCAAGATCAACTTCGTGTCTTTCATCCTAGATTGAAAACTTGTTGAGAACGCATCGAAGATGGGAGTTTCGAAACTTACGTGCTCTTGATGAACGCCAAGACCGCGTTTGACACACCACCTTTGGCTTTCAAGACCAGCGATTTCAGGTGTTCAGAGGACCAGAACTTCCAATTTGTCTTGGAGATATCCGGCCCTGGCTTCCCGATTGCTCGTTGAAGAGAGTGAGAATCGTCGGAGTCCGTGTCACTGCCAAGATCGGAGGAATCGGTTGGGTTGTTCGATCGGCCACCATTCTTCAAGGGCACGCTGGCAGAAGCCATCGTAGGGCTTGACACATGGATGCCTTCGGTCTGCGGTGAAATGACTTGCATCTTGAACAAGAAGGGGGCAGAATGTCCGAACAAGAAAGTAAGTACGTTAACAACAATGCTCGGCGCAGAGATGATGAGAGCAAGTGACAAGCAGGTTTTGATTGCTCGATGACAGCAGCAAGACCTATCTTGAGGCGAAAATCCACGGCCTACTTATACTTTTCAGAAGCTGTTGAGCGCAAGGGCTCAATGAAAGAACCGCAACTGTCCTCCAGTGTCATCGATTGGCAAACAGATCTAGAAGCTCACCGCGGACCAGGCAAGAGTAGGAGCCTGTCCAATTCGAAGTTGAGTGTTCTTACCGCCCAAAATGATGTCGCGTCCGGTTGGTTGTCTGCAGTGGGGCAGCAATGCAGCTATTCGAGGACTGTCTCACATGAATCCACTCGTTCTAATGCATCCTAGGGCGGAGACCGCTTATCATCACCCAAACCAACGTGATGGTTTATGATCAGGCCAATGACCTTGAACTATTATATGCAATACACAGAAACACCTGCGTGGCGTTTTCCAGCACCACTGCACGTGTAAGCCTCTTTCCAATGGCTGATGCATTTCGTGTCCCAGCCAAAACGAGGCGAAATCTTGGGGCTAACCAGAAGTACGACGTCGTCTGTCACCGTTGTTCGCCAGAAGACAACCTACCTTCTCTGGACAACCCATCTTCCATCACTCGACAGCACGTTCATTCGCAATTCTCGCCCTGAGAGAAAACCACGTCTCAGGATTTACTCGCAGGCAGCACACCCATCGAGACGCCCAAATCCGAAAATCTCAGCCAATGGTGCGACACTTAGATAATGCTACCGTCCAAGCTGCCTTCCAGGCTGCCTTGGATGATGCTATGCACAATCGAACGGGCTATGGCATACCGGCAGAAAACCGTGCTTGGAGAGACCATTTTGGACATGGTGACCCACTTGAATACTCGCATCTTTATCGAAATGAAGGAGAGGTTTTTGTGTTTCCCCGAACGGTACTCCACGAGATGAACACTCAGCTTGATTCGTTGGTTGACGGCAACTCTTCCGGCCTCAGCGATCTGTGGAGGTCTAACGTCACGAATGCCAGCCTCGACATCCATCTCACGAATGCTCTGATGCCGTGGACGATTACGTCCAATGTACCACTTCGAAAAGGTATGTAATGATGTCCCGCATGGTCTAAGTGACACGACTGACCCAACTCTTTTCGTCTTACTAGCACCGTTCATGGACACCGGGACTCCTGGCCACTGTGGTTCTCATATTTCAGCTACCGAACGAATAACAGCATCTGGCAATCTGTTTTGGGCTTCGGAGTCCAACTCCAAGACATATTCCGAGAAGCAAAACGGTTCTTCGGGGGATGAAATATCTGTCTCGAGTGAAAGCCAAAAGATGATCGAGTTTGTGATGCACGAGCCAATGACCAACGACGAACGAACTAAGAAGAGAGCCGGAACAAGAAAGACGAACCAGAAGAAGCCCCCAAAGGGACACTCAGACAAGCACTGGGAGATGCTTAGAGACAACCATCTCCGTCGACTCTACATACAGGAGAGCCACACAGTGGACGAGGTGGTGTTCGAGATGCTTGTCATTCATGGACACAGACTTACGTACGTTATTCTATGCGCTTATACCTTACTCAGCAGTAAAACACGATCAATAGCTGATTGAAATCGGTAGAAAACCGACGCTAGAAAGAAAATTCAAGCTTTGGGGATTTTCGAAGAATAGTCCCAGGCGTCAAGGCTCTGGAGGGCTGGTTGCACAACGCCGGCGTGTCGCATATTCCATGCCAGCTACCGCCACCATAGTCAAAAGCCTGAAGTTCGCTTCGTTGAATGAAAGGAGACTGGCGCTGGACAGGCAGAGGCCACAATTTGGGCTTGCAACAACCTACGTTCAGCAGGAGAAGATGTTCCACGCCCTTGACCATCTTGTGAAAGGGCTTTTCGCTTCTGGCTGCCAGAGCTGGAGAGTGGCGAACCCTCAAAGTACGAACTTCACGTCACCGGACTTAGCCTGCGGCAAAACATCCCCTGACTGGCAACTGGTCTCTGAAAAGTGCCGCTGCATCGCAATACTGTCTGATGTTGCGCAATATGGAGAAACATTCAGCGTATTGGAAGACGCCGTGGAAATCCTACAATCCTCCACACAGCTTTGCAACCCAAGTTTCCTAGTCCATTTCTGGAAGATTTCTCTGACTTTAATGAGCGTTCGCGTCGGAGATCGCAAAAGCTTCTTGCTGTTCAGGTCTTTTCTGCTACACCTCCAGGAAGTCCTGTCCTCGTCTGTTGGTGCACATCATCCAATAACCGATTTTGTCATTTCACTGGCAGTCGTCACAACTTCAACTCCTCTCGACCTCAAGATCACCTTGGGCCTTGCATGCTGGAAGGCCATCCATGTCATCGCTAGCATACTTGGTCAAGAACATGCCATGGTTCTCAGTCTGACTGCCCATTGTGTGAGAAATTGGAGAAGTCGATTCAGCCCCCGCGAAGAGGATATCGAGTCCAGCTATGATCACCTGGGGGCCTCGAGTTCCATTTCGGCCCAACTCGCATCTGAGAATGACATATCGTTCCATTTTGACTACCTTTTGGCACTTGCGAAGCCCAGAAACAATGCCGCAACCCTCATACAACAGGCAGCTGATATTTGGACCATAACAAAAGACAGATGCTGTAAGGAGGCGAGGGTGCAAGAGACGTATGACGTTCTCGCTCTACAGGCCTTTACTTTCACGACTGAGTTGCTAGCCTCTCATTACATTGAGATGCAAGGACCAAATCAACTGTCTAGTCCCGAAACAGGGTATGATTACCTGAGCAAGGGAATCGAAGCCCTGGCCAATGGAAGCAAAGAACATCAGACTCATGCAATGGCTCTGTCGAGGCGCTTAGAAAACTACCTCAAAGTTTCTCGAGATAGAGACAGAGCGATCAAAGAAAGAGAGCGCGGTACTCAGCTACGTCGGCGGATCAAGAACATGTTGACGACTTCATCATGGGCTTCTCCCCCAGTGCCCGGAGATCGGCCCAAGACTGGAGGAGCCTGGGCGAAGAGAAACCGTCAAAGTCGTAGAGAGAGTCATAAGAGATTGACACTCTTACTCAAAAACAAGGATTAGAGTCTGTGTAGCTGAAGCGGGCTGTGCCAGTCTGGCGGAAAGAACAGCTGTTTGGTGACCTTGATAGGTCTATATCGACGCATCTTCCGATTTTCAATAGAAATATGTGTGCTTTTCCATATTTCTTTATCAGACTTAGCACAACAATTGTACTGCTGTCTGTTCTTGAGGTCATAGTCTCGCGAATAGGTATTCTAGTTTATGTTCAAGGCATAGGCGGTAAAGCGACAAATGTCGCCGTGCCGCCAGGGATACTTAGAGACGAATAACAGCCATGAAAAGACTATCTATTACTGTTAAAACTTTCATGGGTAGTGCGCCCACTCGTTCTGCTTTTTTACGCAGGGGCCGACGGCAAAGTGCCGGGCCGTGACCTTTTCATCGAGTAAGTTATGTTCAATCAGTGTGAGAAATAAAATTTGCCCGACTAAAAACGAATATTGATCTGGAAATATGGCACTGACACATACACCACTTTTAACGACGTCGTACCTTAGGAACGAGTTGCTACTATGCTCATGCTGGCATTCCTCGTAAAGACATCGATTGCTTTCCTTGATAGCTTCTTGAGCAGGCCATCCAACGAGTAGCCTAGTACTCGTGGAACTCACTATTGCCGATATCAGGTTTCGCCATATTCGCAGGCGTAACGAGGACTTCTGAGTGTCGACGTGTTGATTGATTCATGGAACTAGTGATTGCTGCCGTCACTCTCATGGTACTACATTACTATTAATGCATCTTCGCATCTTCCATGGCGGATAAAGGACTTGCTTTGGGATTCCTCCTCGTCCTACCGTTGGCTTTTGTCTCATCCAATTGAATTTACTTCAAGGACCCGCTAGAACTGGTCCCATGTGCACCTATTATTGTGGATTCAATGCAGCAGCCTTTGTAAAGACAGTCAGTCCTATGGTAAGCCAGTGAACCGAGCGTGTGAGGAAACTGGGCAGTCACACGACACTATGACCACGAAGTGAGGGACGAACGGAAGTGGGTTTTCAGACCTAGCTTTAGCGATGGATTGACTGATCCTCGAGTGACTGAGGGGATCGCGGAATAGAGTGACTGGGCAGAGCCAACAGAGCATGGGGGCTCCAACCGGCGGTGGATCAGTGGAGACGCCGTCCGCACAGGAGCGCAACACGGATTGATTGGACAGGCGAGCCCAGCGGGGTGAGCTAATGCAGCAGGGGAGACCGCACAACCGCGAAGCGGCCCCAAACAGAGGCCATACAAGCAGCATGAGCAGGGGACGAACGCAGTGAGGACCATTGGGAAGCGTTAGCGAGCCAATATCCTGTGGTTTCAAACGGAACGAGCTTGCAAGTGCAGTGACGGTTGTAATCCGGGAACGAAGGATGAGTGGGAGGGAGTCTTGCGTAAGCAGCAGGACCCCGCGACAAGAAAGCGGGGACATGGAATAGAGTAACTGATCGACTGGGGGAGATGAGTACTTAAAGGACGTGGAGCCTGCTTTTTGGGAAACAATGACAGCGACGAGAACGCAACAACATCGCCATCAGGAAATAGTTCAAGGTCAAGCAACAGGATACGGATCATTAATGACTCTGATGTCCGAGGTTACGATGCAGGGAGAAAACATGGACTGGCAATGGACAATCCCAGAAGAGACGAGGGTTGGGGAGCCAGTGGCGATGGATCACGAGGTTCAAGAGGGCGATCCTATGATCATTGATGAGAACACGAGCGGAGGAAATGATGGGAGTATACCGGTGCGGGACGAAACAATGGCTGATGTACAGCAGACACAGATAGTGGTGAAGATACTTGGAAGATCAACATCGAACTACGAGCTCCATGCC